TCGACTTGTGACCAACTCGACTTGCGATCAGAGTCACGGAACGGATTAAGTTCATAAGTAGAGGTACCACTGTATGTGCTGCCTTGAGCTTTTAGAGGGAAGGCAGCATATGGATACGATAAATGATATTTGTTTATCATATTACAAGCTTACAAGCTATTGTAAGCTACACATCTGGAGACTTCCACTGTAGGGAAGATGGACTTAATGGTTCAGTTCTGCTTTGCTTCAAAATGTAGAATGTATCACTTGCATTTTGGCTGTTCCCAGGACCTGACCGATAGACACCAGCTTGCATAGCCTTTTAGCATATTCTGGACACCTCACATTAGATGGTTGGTTTGCAGTTCACCACTTTAAATTTCCTACAGTGTGTCTAAGGTAGTATTTATGTATGCGTGTAAGTATGTATTTTATTTATTTCAATGTATGTGCTCATGTAGTTATTTGTTTATTAGATTTATGACCTAGCTTTCTTCCAGGAGCAAAAAGTGCCATGGAAGCTTGCTACTTGCTTATTCCTGCTGCCAGATTAGCCTGCCTTGAGGATCGGTTCTCAAACTTGGAGCTGGGGAACATAAAAGCAATGACAACTAATGCTGGTGTTTGTGGTTGATCATAACGCCAGTGTCTAAATTCCTTGCATGTAGAAACATTTCTCCCCCCTCCTTCATAAAAGAAGTCCAGCTAGTCATAACATAGCAAGGTGGCTGGCCACTGAATAACAGGGTTTGCTTCCTTTTTTGCCTTTAGGACCATTTAAAAGAAGCTGAGGAAGTATATCAGGCTGGCATAGAGAATTGTCCTGAAAGCTCTGATCTGCATAATAACTATGGGGTTTTCTTAGTCGATACTGGTAAGTAAAAGATAGGTTGTTATTTCTGGTAATCCTTAATTGACTTTTGCTGATTAGGATGGATAATGAGGTTTTTAAAGATTTGTTTATAGAGAATGGGGTGAGATATGAGATGAAGAGATGGTTTGTTATATTTTTAGAGATGGTGTTAAGTTGTTAAATTTGTTTATATTTGCTGGGACAACAGGGAAAGTTACTTCTTTTTTTCTCTTTTTAAATTTTTTTCTTTGCACGTTTTATTTTTTAATACTTTAAACTTTGTATTAGTTTTATCTGTATAATGTAATCTTCAATAAACTATATAAAGGTACTGGTAAGTAAAAAAGAGCCAAAACTTGGGGTACTAAGAACTACTCTGGACAAATTAAAATGATTGTCATCAGAGTTACTAGCTCAGCAGTTTATCTCCAGACTGCTCTGCGAAGTTTTTTCTTTCTTATTTTCCAAAACCTCAGCCCAATGTGTTGCATGTAATGCTAATTTTTATTATGTGCACAGCAAAGCCATGGTAAGTGGATGAGAAGAATGATAAAGGAATGAAACATACTTTCAGCCTTTATATCAGCTTCTCAAAGATGAAGAGCTCTAGGCAGCTGAAGAAAAACCAGAGAAGAGTCTGCAAAACTGGTCGGAATGCATCAGAATTCAGATATCACATACCAGAGGCATCCCAAACTGGATATCTTTCAGGGGCAAAGACTTCAACTCCCAGAATTCTTGGCAGTGGCCATGATGGTTGGGGAATCCTAGGAAAAGTCTGTATATCTGGAGGGCAATCAGGTTGTGAGAAGGCTGACAGAGCACCTAAGGCCCAAAAACTAAGAAGGCAACTCTCAGCTCAGTTGAAAAGACAAATCAGGTAGATGGGAGGACATGTTTTTTTTTAATCTGCGCTCAATCGTGACCAATTCTGCGGTGACCGCCTGGACGAGTCCCTGCAGTTTTCAAGGCAAGGTGTTTCGGAAGTGGTTTGCCATTGCCTCCTTCCTAGGGCAGATCCCAGCTGGCGAGCGCAGGAGGCGGGGTTTCCGTTGCTTCGCGCCTTTTTCGGGCGTGCACGGCTTCTGCGTTACCGGCAACTGCGCCCGTCTCCTGTGCAAGCGCTGCCAGCATTTTTCCTCCCACCAGGGTGAGAGTCCCCATTTATTTACTCACGTAAGTTTTCGAGCTGCTGGGCTGGCAGGAGCTGGGGAGGAAGCAGGAACTCGCTCTGCTGCGCGGAGCTGGGCTCAAACCGCTGAAGTGTCGACCATTTAAGAGTGGAGTCAGACATTATTTATTTGCAGAATTATCCTGTATGTCTGTTCACAAGTCCCAGTTCAATGGGCATATTTCCAGGAAAATCTGCATAGACTTCCAGTCTTACTTGGCCAGCTAGGTGGCAACATCTAGTTTGTTTCAGCTGACCTTGGAATGGGTTTGACCAGGAGCCAAGCTCAATTTGAAGGAGATTTTATTTTAGCCCATGAGCCTGGGACTACCCTGCTTCATATTAATACATGGTGACCTTGAAAAGATGACTGAAAATTTTAAACCATGTAAACTAGCAACCAGCAAATCCCCCTTCTCCTTGCTATAAATCTTACACTGTAGTTATTTTAACTTTATTTGCATTTCGCATGCAGATCGGTCTAGTCTGCTGCTATAGGATATGTGAGTGTGTGACAGGCAGTGGGTTTGTGTACAAAATTTATCTTTAAAAGCTGTTTGCTTTCCAGTGCTAGCAATCTGTCACTTTTCTCCAGGATGAAATTAATGTCAACGCATTGATTGTTGTTTTTGCTTAACATAAGACACGGACAAATTATTCTACTTAATCAGTTCACACAGCTTGTACTTCTCTCTGCTTTTCTTCCTCTTTCCTATAATGGATTGTTCTGTCACGTACCCATGGAAAAGGTAATAGGCCAGCTCCATCTTGTGGAAAAAGAAATATCACATTTGCTATTTGGTTTGGTATTGTGTTTAGATTATGCAAGTCTTTTTCCCCTTATTTAATGTTAGCAGGGCTACTACTGTATATCTGGGCTGCAAAAATCTAGATGACTCACTAAATGGCTTTCTACTGCCATGTAGTGGTTATCTGGATATTTTACAGCCCATATATATATTAGTATTAATATTAATGCCTTTAATTTAACTCTTGTAAACTGCTTCAAGCATCTTTTGAGAAACATGGCATATATTTTTGAAATTCTAATTAGATAAATGCTACCTCTGCCCTATTGGTTGTGAGCAAATAATCACCCTCCTCCTGGCTCCCCAGAAGTAGATTAGGGAATTCATTTATTACTACAGCCCAGGGAAGTCATTTAAAAAAGGCCAGTACAGCGGATCCCTTAGTGTTTAACATAGATTGTATAGTTTGCTCATTGCAAAGTAACAAACTGCTGGATTTGTCTGGTTATAATTACTGCATTTGTATATATACCTCCCTTTGAATGAACTTGAGTTCCTCTTGAATGTTCTGTATGGGTTTTTCTCTCCCGTTTCCATTTGTATTCCTTTCAGATCCTTATTTATTTATTAAACTGGTATGCCACCTGCCTCTCAATGACTCTGGGCAACTCACAAGATATTCTCAGAGATACTAACTTGGTGAGCCATCAAGAGCAACCCTAATCCAGCCTTCTTTTTGTAGGATCTCCAGAGACTGCAGTCTCCCACTATCAGAAAGCCATTGAACTTAGTCCTAGTCATCATGTGGCCATGGTGAATCTGGGCAGACTCTATCGTTCCTTGGGGCAGAACAAAGATGCTGAAATTTGGTACAAGCGGTAAGTGGAAGCATCTGGGCAGCTGAAGTTCTTGGTAAAGGCTGCAAGAAATCTATGCTTTTAAAAGGGAAATGCCAATACTGTCTTTTCAAAGGGGTTATGCCATATTTTATGACCATTTGGTTCTTGATGTTTATTGCAAAGGAAATATTTAAATTCTGCCTAAACTCCAGGCTCTTTTTAGTAAGGGCTGGGCACAGTGGGAGACAGGATGGAAGAGAAGGTGAGGAAACAGTTGGAGAACTATAAAAAAGTACATAACTTCTTCATTTTATTTTATCCTGTACATAACTTACTTTATTTTATCCTTTAGGGCACTTAAAGTAGCATGGAAAGTTGAAATCCTGTCCCCGCTTGGAGCGCTGTATTATAACACAGGCCGATATGAAGATGCATTAAAGATTTACAGGGAAGCTGCATCATTACAGCCATCCAACAAGGAGACTCGACTGGCTCTGGTGAGTCCATGACGTTCCTCTTCGGACTCTGCAGAAAGTATTTCTTTTTGCTTGCAGGTGTGAGAACATTCGCTGGGCTGTGTGAGAATGTGAGGCTAGGCTGAAGCTGCCTTAACCTAAAAATGGAGCAGGCATGTAGGCAGAGAGGACAAAAGCCAGGAATCTTCGGGAGGTAGATAAAAAGGAACAAAGTCATTAAGGACCAAAGAGAAATGTCACCAGAAGACAGGCAAAGGAGGCTGACCACACAACCCTCCCTCCCCACAACCCCATCGACAGTTACCAGACTTGTGAATGAACAAAGCGAGGGCTTTGGAGGATAAAAGGGGTCCTGCAGCCTCCCCACATCCTGGACCTAGATTTGATAGCTTCCATCCCTCTAGCTAGTGCCACACAGCCTCGTTGAGAAGGACATGGCTAAGTGGGGATGAGTGCGTGCCGGAGAGTGGGCAAATGTACATTGCAATCAGTAAAGTTTTGCTGCTGCTTTGAATTCATTGGGTCTCCATGCATTGCATCAGAACCTGATGTTCAGCTGAAAGTGATTTGCGTGGGTTCCTAATTATTTCCCAGATATTGACCAGGACTGGGCTTGTATGCGCTGGCCACACCTACCTATGCTTGTATGCTCCAGTCACACCTATCTGGAAATCTCAGGTAGAGAGCAAGGGGGGCTGCAAGATTCACATGCCTTGATGAGCTGTGTGCATGAGTGATGAACCTAGGAGTCTGTAACACAGGTAGGTTTGGCAGAAGCAGTGAGGAAGAAGGAGCCAAAGCGGTGAAGTGGTTAAGGGGTTGGACTAGAGGAGGGACACTGATTTTCTCGTTCACCTTCAGCCATGGAATTACTCCCTCTCAGCCCAACTTAGAGCTCTACATAAGCCTCTTTTTGCTCCTACATGAAAACAATCAGTAAAAATATGAAAAACAGCTAATTGCAGGTAGTTCTTGGTGTACGTCTATTCTTTCAGTGACTGATCAAAGTTAGGGCAGTGCTGAAAAAATGGACGTACCACCGATGCTCAAGGTTCTGGCCGTTGCAGCACCCCCACACGGCTTGTGATTACAATGTCACAGGGAGCCACAAGCACACGATCGCCACCTGCGAACTTCCATGCTGCCTTCCCACAAGCAAAGTCAATGGGGAGGAAGGAAACCAGCAGGGAAGATCGCTACCAGGGTTCGATCCTTTTAGATAATATCAGCATGTATAAGAAACAACATTGTTCATTGTATCTGTATCCTTTCGCACCATTCTTTCACACCCTCTGGAGGAAGGACGGCTGTCTGGTTTCTGTTACCTGTCTCCATTCCAGGGTCTGAAATTTTTAATACTTAAACTAACAAAATATATGATCTACAGGTAGTCCTCGAGATATGATGACAATTGGGACCAGGATTACCATTGCTAAGTGATGCAGTCATAAAGCGCAATGTCACGTGACTGCATCACTTAGCGATGACAATCCCAGGAGTCCTGGTTCCTGTCATAAACCCAGGACACATGGGTCGTTAAGCGGGAAGAGGTGGGAGTCCCAGGTAAGGAGCGTGTATGCAGGGGTGCTGCGGGAAGATCGGGGCAGCTCTGGGAGGCCAGGGCAGGCTGCCCGTGAGTTGGGGGAGGCCAGGAGAGGGCTTGGGAGGTTGGTGCAGGCTGCATGTGAGCGCAGGAAGGTCAGGGTAGATGGTGCTGCAGGACGTGAATACAGGAAGGCAGGGGGCTGGATGGCGTGGCAGGGTGTGAGTGCAGGAAGGCCAGGAGGGTGGATAGCATGGCAGGGCACAAGCACGGGAAGGCTAGAGGGACTTACCAGAGCAGCTTGTGACCTTCCCTGCCAGCTTCTCCATTGACTTTGCTTGTGGGAACCTGCAGGGAAGGTCGCAAATGGCGATCACATGACTGCGGGACAGTGCAACCATCATAAATGCGAGCCAGTTGTCAAGCGTGCAATCACGATCATATACTGCAAGGGCGCTGCGATGGCCAGAACTTCGAGGACCTGTCATAAGTTCCATTGTTCAGCACCATTGCAACTTTGAGCGGTCACTGAATGAGTGGTTGGTAAACGAGGACTACCTGTATTTCTAAGGCATAAAAAGGAACATATGAATTAGAACTCCACAACTGTGTTTCCTATCTTTGTGAATAGGGATGATGGGAGCAGTAGTGCATCTCATATGAAGTCATACTTGGAGAGGGAAAGCAGAATATTTGAAAGACCAACTGCTAAAATCATCATTCAGCTCAGATGCTCTTTCTCTCTCAGATATGAGATGAGTGGCTACTGAGAAAAACCTTGTTGGAGCCACCTCATCCAATGCGTTTAGTGTTCTCAGGCTGCCTTACTGAGGGAGACCAACTGAATATTCCCCAATATTCTAGGGAGGGAGAATTTTTTCCTTTCCTTTTTTCTTTTTTCTTTTGATAGGCTCAGGTTTTAGCAATGATGGGACAAACAAAGGAAGCAGAGCAAATGACTAGCCATATTGTGACTGAAGGGGCTGAGTGCCTGGAGTGCTACCGCCTGTTGTCTGCTATCTACAGCAAGCAAGAGAACTACAACAAGGTATAGTGACTACTCTAGGCCAAAAGCTGTCAAGCTAAACACGTGGCTAAGGGGCCCAACTTTAAACTATCTTGAAAGAATGCAGAGCAATAAGCCAGAGACCAACCCAGAGACAAACCCCTCTGAGTTTTGCCAGGATTTGTGTGGCTAGCTGCCTTGACTGGATGGTGCTGCCCTATTTAAGTGTCAGAAATGAGACTCTGATTTTCAGAAGATGCTGGTGTGATGCGTCCTCTTTTGCTGCACCAGTCCCATGCAGAGACAGATTTCACTTCTCCATCTATAGGTACCTCTAGTTACCTGTCAAGAGAATTGAAGAACTCAGGATTTAATCTAGGGGGACTTTCTGGCTCTTCCCAGAGCATCCAAAATTCTTCTCTAAGAAGATCCTTCCGAACTGAATTATGGGCTGTATCATTGGGTGCAAAACATAGATGGCAACTGCCCAATTTGGAGTGATTCCTTCTTTTCCTTGCAGCCCCTGTGGCACAGCCTAATCCATATCTGGGTGTCCTTCTCATGCTGGCTGGGGAATTTTGGGAGTTGAAATCCACCCATCTAAAGTTGCTAAGGTTGAGGAACCCTGCTCTAGTGCACAGAGGAGGAAAAGATGGGGAAGTCTTTATCCCACAACTTCCTTTTATAAAGGAAGTAATTTCTGTGGCCAGAACAAAAATGGGAAAGTAAATAGTGATGCAAATTGTATTGAGAAGGCTCTGATAATAAAGATTAGCATCATCAGAAAATAAATGTATAAAATATTGTTTTTTCTAGTAATAAAAGAAGGACAAGAGCACAGAGGCACTAGCTAAATATTATAACTATTACAGAAATTCAGCAAGATATTTTCACTCATGTCCCCTCATGTTAACTTGAGGCCTTTCCACATGTGGCAGATATTGCTGGTTGGAGCTTATAAGAATTGAAATCTACCCACATCTGGAGAACAGAAGTTGGAGAAGGCTGTATCAAAGCAGCTGTTGATGTGCAATAGGAGTTTTGTTCATCCAAATTTATTGTATATATTTGTGCAGGCACTTGAAGCCATAGACAAAGCTTTACAACTGAAACCAAAGGACCCCAAAATCATATCAGAGCTCTTTTTCACCAAAGGAAATCAGCTAAGAGAACAAAACCACCTGGACAAAGCTTTTGAGGTACTCACCTAAATATATAGGTTGGATTGCTTATTTCATTAAACATAAAATGATGCTCTTCAAATTACTCAGTTGAACACATGCATCTGAGGATTATAAAGCAAAAAGGCTGCCGTAGGAAAAAACAGTGAAAGTATAGCTAGATAACAAGGGGATAGGTTCCAGAGACACAGATAATCTATTTTGAGCCTTCTTAAAATTCAATAAGTGACTATATGCTCATTTCCACTGATTACAGTTCAATGTCAGTGATGTTGCCAAAGTTCCCAGTTTCTTCACTTGGAACAACAATCTCTATGATTCATAATACTCCGCTCATATCCAAGAGTTCATTTCGACTTGAATTGTATTCCTTTCTCTTTCCCTCTAATAGAAATGAATAAATGTGAATACATGACATGCTTACCAAACATATTGATTGTTCTAAGGAAATTACAATTACAGGTGGACATGTCTTGAGCCTTCTTTCTTGGCCTTTCTCATTTTGGGGTTCCCATTTGTGGTTGGTTTGCAAGTCCCAGCATTCTTCATCTAGTACAGTCAGTGGCCAGAATTAGTAGTCTAGAACTCTAAGAACCCAGGTTTGGAGAAACTATTCTGTGTCCATTAAGATCTCCACGATATAGATATGGGTCTTCTAATGTCGGCTTTTCATTTTTGTGTTAATTTAGAGCTATAAAGTATCTGTAGACTTCAACCCAGAGCAAGCACAAGCATGGATGAATATGGGAGGCATTGAACATATCAAGGTAAGAAAATGCACAATTTATATTTATTTGTGTGTGTGTGTGTGTGTGTGTGTGTGTGTGTGTTTGTTTATTAAAATATTTATGCCATGCCTTTCATCCCTCAAAAGAGTCGTCAGTGTGATTTACAATCCTTTGGTACATTTTTGATGCAGTTAAAGAAATTATAATGTGTGGTTCACCAGATGATCTTGGATTACAACAGTATCTAGATTCCCTATGCCTACTTATAACCTTTTTTTTTTAAGTCAAAAGATGTTTAAATTGTCTATTTAAAAGTATTACAAGCTAAAGTAGCCATCCCCAGGCATATTCTATTTTAGTTTCATTAGAACTGCAACAAAATGCATGTGGAGGATGCTTTTAAATTAAACTTCTTATTCTTTTAAGTTATTTTTTAAATAGGCATAGGAAACCACTGATCCTCCAGATAACTGTTGAACTGAATGTTCTCTCAGCCTCAGCCAGCCTGGTCAATGAATGAGTATAATAATGGGAGTCTATCTAAAAGCTATCAGAGATGGGCTTTGTAAAAGCTTCCCTCAAATGTAGTTGTTCAGCCTTAACCCTAACTTTGTCTTGGGTCACCACTTGTATACCTTTCTGTAAGGCAAAACACAAGGCTTCTGATAACATCTGTACCTGATAGACAGGTTTGTGAGAGGGTTAGTCCCCAAATAAGTTAGGGCTTTAACAAGAGAAGAAGAACTACCAATAGACTATTACAACCACACGGCATCACAGTAGCATACAAACCAACTAAAGCCCTCCAGAACTTCTTAAGTAAACCAAAAGACCTAGTAGCCCAAGAAAAAGCAGGAGTCATCTCTAACATACAATGAAAGAACTGTAACAGCCACTGTGTAGGAAAGACAGGCAGAAGTCTAGCAGAGCACATCCATGAATACCAACTAGCAGTCAGAAGATATGATGAAAACTCCTCAATCTCACAACACACGGACAGACGCAACCATAGTTTTAACTGGGAAACTCTGAGTATCCTAGACCAAGCTAAATCCAAAAATGCTAGGGAATTCCTGGAAGCTTGGCATTCAGACAAATCAGCCATCAATAGACACATAAGAGAGAAACCACATTTACACACCATTCAAAAGAGACAATAAAAAAGCTAAGAAGGGAACAAAGACCAGAACACATCCTCTCCAGCAGCCAACACCCAGATAAGCAGAGATTAACACCAGACAAACAATCAAGCAGAAAACAATACCCTAATCAAGAAACTACCAAGGAGAAAACCCCACCCCCGCCACCACTGGCAGGGCAAGCTACTATATATAAACAGGGAGCAAACCCCACATTCACTGGCATTGATGATGTTACCTAGTTGGGTAATGAAATGTCTGCAAGCAAACAGCCAAGCTCAGAGAGCACCAAGGACTCCACAGTTCAATCCTGCATTACATATACAGTGGTGCCTCTAGTTACGAACGCCCCTCCTTACGAATTTTTCAAGATACGACCAGCTCCGGCCCCAAAAATTTACGAAATGTCTGCAAGCAAACAGCCAAGCTCAGAGAGCACCAAGGACTCCACAGTTCAATCCTGCATTACATATACAGTGGTGCCTCTAGTTACGAACGCCCCTCCTTACGAATTTTTCAAGATACGACCAGCTCCGGCCCCAAAAATTTACCTCT